GCTTATTACAATTAGCAAAACATACTATTTATTTCCTCAAAAGTAGTATAATTTAAAATAAATAAAAGTCTAAACAGATGATCAACATTAATACTTACCTTAAGTAAAAGACTTAAAATCATTATTAAAACCGGTGGCATATAAACACCAATTGATATATATCGATATGGATTAGGCAGAAGATAATACCAAAAGGATTGATGTAATCTTTCTTGTAGATTATTCAATGAACGTAGAATACCTTCAAGTAATCTGAAAATGCATTCAACAAAAACAATAACAAAAAAAGTCATAACTAATCACGAAAAAGAAATGTGATAATATCTGTGACATGACACAACTTGAAAACGACGTTACTATCAGAAAAACTTTAATTCAAACTGTCGTTATCTTTCAATAACCGTCAAATGTTTACTATGAAGCTGAAAAAAACAAATTGCTTATCTTTGGCTCCTCCGCCTCCTGAATAAACCATTTTAACATTTCCTGTGGATTATGTTATGTGAAACCTAATCCCAATTCTATTACACCTAGAAGATACAGGGAATAACTTAAACGGTTATTATAGCCTTCAGGGGTATATACCATATATATCTAACACATTATCACACACAAAATCCATCTGCACCTTATAATACATATGGCTGAAACAGTGGTAATAAGATCAACCAAGCCAGCACTATGTATTCACAAATAAAACACGTTCAAATGTTAATGTTAGGGTAGAATTTGAGCACAACGATAGAATATAATCCCATATTAGATACTTAATCCACTACTAATAACTGGACGGCGTTTTTACCAAAATATCTCGTTCATAATAACATCAGCTGTTGTCCCTCCCAGTAGTCACTCTTGAACTAAATACCAAATGCTAACGATGAAGTGAAACCAATTCATGTATGCACAATTACTTCACCGTATAGTTGACTAATTGTTAAATAACTTTAACACCACTGAATCCATCCTTCCTGTACATTATTGATTGAGTACTAGAAAGTAATCAGTGTTATGTCGAGTGCGTCCAGTTCCAAGTGTTGGTACTGAATGAACGCTACCACATCAGAAGGATAATGAAGGAATACAATATAGTTCAATCATCAAATAATAAGAGTAATGCAACTAAGCCATCCCATAGAAGTTATTTAAATGTTCTAGGCGCTATGGACTACACTGCACAAGACGAAATGGTTATTTAGTGCTATTTAGCTTACAGCTAATGTCAAAACATATAGAAACTTCAAAAGAATGTTTGATTGTATTTTCCGAGAAAGGAGTACAATATCAGATGGTTGGAGGCAATCGGCAGGAAGCCTTGGACCTAGACCTACGTTTCGTGCTAGTTGGCACTAACCAGTCAGCAAGGCGTATCTGCAACATTTGAAGGAACTCATGTCTCTTTTGAGATTCGAGCCCGCGTCACTCACTGCTGCAGTCAGAGACGTTACCATTGAGCTATACGGGCTCACGATTGACCTCCTTCAAGGTTGCAGATACGGCTTCATGCCGATTGCCTTCAACCATCTAAAGAAGATTATAAATATCCATTTGAAGTCGAAGGTGAGGACAAATACTCGCCAGAGATGATATTGACTAGTGGTCGCCGTATTTTGTCAAATGGCAGAAGTTGGAATTTATGGACTGGCCACTGAGGAGTCAGGTCCCAGCGGCTTAATGGTCTACGAGCAAGCTCACCTTGTAACCAGAAGGTCCTGGGTTTGAACCCTGGTGGTGTATGTGCACTGATGAAGAGTCACAAACCAGGACGAAACAACTGTCCGGTATTGCAGTGCTAGTTTTCCAATGGTTTTCTAATTAATGTCAGCTGATAATGAAATCCTGAAACCACTCGATTATTACTAGTATTGTTGTTATTATTAAATGAGTTTCGTCCATTCCGAGTTGAACCTAGGACTTCAAGCTAGGAGTTTCGGTAGGGATGTTTTTTTTACGTTCAACCTTCCCTCTTTTAGGGCCTTACTACTATCAGCTAGTAAATTAGGAAGGGTGTAGGAGCTCATCGGCAGCGTCTCTGACTGCAGCAACGAATGACACAGGTTACAATCTCTCTGGAGACATTGCTGCCTTCAAGATTGCAGATATATCTTGCTGGCGAGTGCCAATAAGCACAAAATTCAGATGTAGGGCATCTCCTGCCAAATTATCACCAACTATCTCACATCAATTCGAAGTACATCATGCGATGGTGAGTTGCCTAGCAGCTGGGTGACCATATTGTAAACGTTACACTAACAGAATTCAGCCAGCACCAATACTAAGGAGTAGATGCTGGGCAGGACATTTATTGCTTCCCAGTGGTCGATAAGTGTATCCATTGTGATCCTACAAAAGGTCAATCGTAAGCCTCATATATCCAAACCATAAATACTACGAATTCCCTGAAATAGTAATACGAGTCTCCAGTTCGATGGAATTAATACGAAGTTATATAAAATAATCCCAGTGTGTTTAATAAAAGAATTCTAGACGTCTCACTCTGTAAGTCACAGGCTTCTTCGGTAGGAATACCTCGACCTTACTCGACATCGAAAGGCATAATTTTTGTACAATTTATAATCATTTAAAGGAGTAATATTCTAAATCACTATGAATCACTCACTATTAACCTCACCTCATAACATATAGAATTTCTGAACTACGCGGATCATCTGTTCGTTTTTTATAATTTCCGCGTAAAGTTATCGCGGGAATTTGATAATTAATCAGTGGACCGTGTAGACCACTTGGTGAATTTGTTGACTGAGTCCATACAGCTTCCATAAGTCCAAGCATATCATTCATTCTAGTCTGATAGGTTCCACGTGTATATGCATAGGACTATTTAAGCAACAAAAAAAAATGAAACAAACGAAAACAAAACGAATTAAATCAATTCAGGTTTTAGAAAACAAAAGGATTGAGCGAAGAAATATCCGCTTTTCAATTAGATCCTCATCTCTAGCTCCACTCTAATATATTATGCATAGAATTTTTAATGCAATACAAAACATCTTACCAATCAACTGGCGACATGTCTATTAACCATTATTAGTCAGTACCAACATGTCAGGTGGGGGAGGAGTTAATAATTAACGAAGGAAAAATAATACACACAATTAAACGATAGAAATGGTTACAACAAGTAGATTTCATAATGCACAATTTTGGAAAAATGAAGAGTAATTAAAGAATAAGTGGGTGATCAAGTTGATTACGTAATAGAACATATGTGGACAATGACAACTTGCAATTAGAGATGAAGAAGTCGAAAAATAATAAAATAATCTGGACAATTATAATTTTTAAAAGGCTTAGGAGGAGGATGAAGTAGTCCAGTTTATACATTCATGTAACGATGGCCAAGGTAAGGAAAGCGGCTGTACGAATTCCGTCTCAACACAAAAGTTTGACTTCATCAGGTGGATTCCAATGACTTCAGCTGTATGCAAAAGACGAACTCATAAAGCAACATTAAGACTGGTTGGAATGCGATAAATAACTTTAAATGCTGTATTAACATCAACTTTGTGCTCACTGTCTACAACGGTATGCTAAAGCAGAGCTACGAATGAATCTTGTTTGTCCATTGCTTAACCATACAGTATGGCGTTCAGAAACATGATGATGAACCTGCCTAATTGTACACCCAATGTAGCTGGCTCCACATCTGCAGTCGAAATGGTAGATATACACAGAGGAGGCGACTTTAGGAAGTTTGTTCTTATTTCTCGAACGTATAAATAGAAGTGGTAGCGAAGAGACAACGTACCTCTGCAAAACTGAATGCTCCTTTAACTCCATTCTTCAGGCTCTGTGCTGCTGTTTCTCTGACAATATCACCTAGGAATTGCAGTTTTATAAACAATGGTTTCTTCTGGAGCTGTCGCCCTACTGGCTTGTTTTTGTGGTAAATCCAAATCTCATTGTGGGTAAATTTTATTTTGATAAAGTCTCACAGTGTTATGCAGTAATGTTTACCGATGACGTTTCGAGCACAATTTATTGCTGCTCATAATCATATCAAGGTAATCACACGACTTCCTAAATTCATTTATATAGTTCCATTGTTTTTCACTTGATTTGATTGGTAGTAGTATTTTCCATATTTCGGGTATGAGTGATGAATCATTCCTATTGCATGTGTTGGGTGTAGATTCGATGAACAAAGATTCAGTAATCAACCTCTCTCTCCACCTACCTAGATTACTTTTTAGAATTTTAACCCTCTCCCACTCTATTGTGTGGTTGTGTGTTAATGCATGCATTGCAATTGCCGAGCTTTTTTCTAAATTACTTATCTTCTCTGGGTCAACCGTTCTTACCTTAGCTGAATTCTTATGTTCCGACAATCTGATTACCCACACTCGACCTACTAGTTTGACCTATGTAGTTGACCTCACAGTCATTGCAGGGTATTTTGTAAATTATATTATTTTGTCTAATTGGGTCAACTGGGTCCTTTAACCTACAGAGCTTGTCCCTGAGTGAGTTTGTAGGTTTAAATGCCACCCTAATTCCTGCTTTATTTAGAATCCTACGTAGGGTCTCAGATGTCCCCTCTTTATATGGTATAACTGTAGATGACTTATATTCTCTCTTATTTATGTTATTATTACTAGTTTCACAATTATTTTTATTTTTATTTTGGCCTTTTTCAATCTTCCTAATGAATTTTAAAGGATAGTTATTTAACATCAACGCCTCTTCTATCTGTTTTATCTCATCATTTAGGTCTTTTTTGTGCTACTTAGTGCCATTGCTCGGTTTGTTAAACACTTAACTAAGCCTGCCTTAACAGTTAAAGGATGAGATGAATTAAAGTCTAAATATCTATTAGAATGCGTTGGTTTTCTATAAACACTAGTGTGTAGTTTGCCTTCTTTTATTCGTTTTATTTTACAATTTAACGTAGCTAATTCTCCTTGCTCATTTTCGGCTTCAAATGTGAATTTTATTCCCTCCACTAGTGAGTTTATGTGTGTCAAGAAGCTAGAGGTATGTTCTGTTTTTAACACTGTGAAAGTGTCATCCATATATTCCCACCATATTTTTGGAGTAGGATTAAACGTATTAAGAGCCATATTTTCCCAGGTATCCATAAATATATCTGCTGCAATAGGGGATATTGGTGGTCCCATTGCTACACCTTCAGTTTGTCTATATATTTTGCCTTGGAATTTAAAGATAGTAGATGTGAGGCACAACTGAATTCCTAAAATAATTTCATCAATGGGTAGTTTCGTTCTATAAGTGAGTTCAGGGTCTGCAGTTAATTCTTTTTTAACTGCTCCTAAGGCCATATTGATTGGCCTTAATTGGTCGATAAATTGAGGGAAAGATTTGACTGCAAATCCCTGACCTGTTCAATGATGATGCGTAGACATACGATTTGACCAGCACATGATTTGCCTTTCTTGAATCTAGCTTGTTCCAGAGGGCGGAGTTCTGCATCCAGTGCATTATTTATTCACTAAAAGCAACTAAATACCATCAACCCAATTCTTGATAAATAGTTCCCTGCTCATTAGAGTAAACGACTACACGATGAATTTCCTGGAGTTCTGATGACAAGTGATTGGTTGGTTTCAATAATGTGGATATGACGACAGATACTTGCAGATAAACAATCGGTGGTGTTGGCGATACACTACAAATTCATAAAGGACTACAATTCACTGGTCACTAGACTCCACTAACCCAGTGAGTGATTAGATAACTGCCATGTGAGGTCGTAGGGAGAGAAAGTGATAAAGGGTCCCATACTAAGACGAAGTGGTTTACCTAGTGCTCCCTGATCAACGCTCCCCCACTCCCACCTACAAAGTTTCTCTAACTGATGTCAATTCGTGATAAAATCTACCATATAAAAAAGATGTTTTTTTCAAGTATTGGTTTGTAGGGAAGTGTGTGTGTGTTGTGTTGTGTTGTGTGTGTTACACTCTCTTTGTCATTGAGGTGATTAAGAACTTTAAAAGCCAAATTAGTTTTGTGAATATACACAACAATAAACCACAAGAATACATCCTTGTACACACATACACACACAAAACCATCAATGTTATTCACATCGCCAACATGAATGGTGAACATGTATTTACTTAGACATCTTGTAATTTCTCTGTGTTAAAAGCACCATACAAATAAACAAATAAAAATAAATCAATTGAGAAGTAGTGTTTATGTTATAAATTTACACAGGCATCAGAGAAGCCAATTCAAACTAAAGAATACTTAGAAGTTGTTTTCGACTAGTTTAAGAAGACTCTTAAGAAATCTGTAATTATGTCCTCATCATGCAACTTTGGAGATCCATGCAGCTGTTTGTAATGATGCTTACAGATGCCAGTGAATGACAGATAAGATTAAGTCACCTGTAAGGCTTAATGATACTACTTAAGGGATTATTCGAGCCCTTGACCAATCCGCGGAAAATTCAGTTCACAAGGTAATGGACCACATCTCTAGAGTTAATGATGTGAATTGGCGTGACCTGTGAAGCATAAGCTGCTTTTCTATTCGATAGCGTTGTCCTCTAGTTGCCAATTCTTTACATATTTATTGTAAACTTAATGGACTTTAAATCTACAGTGTGCATAAGATTTCAGCTGTCTCTGGCTGTCTGTGTTCAACATAGAGCCTGGCACCGAGGTGCAGCAGTTCGAGTTGCCACGTTCCAAAAAGCACACAAGGTAGACAAGAAGATGAGTGAAGAGAATCAATAGAGTTTTGATAAGTATAAGTGTGAAATAGAATGAGTAATGGTAGAAAGGAATATGAAAGATTACAGAGACTGAATACATCTGCGTAAGCCATTGACAACGATTTTGAGCCATGTCACCTATTGTCTCCAGCCATTGATTCTTAAAGTCCCGAGGGCTCCAACCCGGAAGTCTGCATCTCCTTACCTGACTCAGTTTAACTGTCAGGGATTTCATGGATTGATGAGGCCATGTTTTTGTTTGGCCACCACTTATTCTTTTCCAACCTGCCCGTCCGTCGGGGGAGGCGATGGTTAGGCATGCACAGCACGTGACCTAGCTATCTCAATCTATGTAACTTTATAGCCTCTTCGATTGATTTTCCCTCTTCGCCCAACACTCTACGCCTAACATCAACATTAATTACCTTATTATACCACCTAACGCGAGAAAGAGATCGTAGACATCTATGATCAAAAACAGTCAACCTTTTCATGTCTTCAACTCGTATTGGCCATGTTTCAGAGCCGTAGAGAAGGACGCAGCGAACAGCTGAGCAGTACACACGTCTCTTGGTTGATAGTCGGATGTCACGCCTACGCCAGAGATGGTGTAAGTTAGCGAAAGCAGCCCGAGCTTTTTGGATACATGCTGAGATTTCGTCACCAATCAATCCGTTGGTGCTGATACAACTTCCCAGATAGGTGAAGTGGTCAACATGTTCTATCACTTCACTCCCTATCACTAAGCTAGGAGTTGACGTAGTCCAGTCCTGTAGCAGCATCTTACATTTTACAGGGGCGAATCGCATGCCATATGTACGGAGATTGCTGCTCAAGGTGTTCGGAAGACTCCATTTTGTCAGCAACCTCCCCTAACAGGACTATGTCATCTTAAGATTTCAGCTGTGTGCGCTGAGGAAGAATCACAAACTAAGACGGAATACTTGCCCAGTGTAACGTGTTTTTTAGTGGTTTCCAGGATTATTCGACTTTAGGTAGGAAACTACTATAAAGACAGGTGATCATCTATGAGGGAACGGCGGAAGAAAAGAGATTCAAACTTTTTAGTGTACGATCTGCAAAATATTAGCTCTAAAATTACTACAGTTATCCATGTAGTATATATGATCTAAGGAAA